TGCCCAGTGTGGAACACATCTCACCACGCTAAAACAGTGGATGTGGCTCTTAATGAGACATGCCGCATTATCACGGGGTGTCTGCGCCCTACACCACTGGAGAAATGACACTGCTTAGCCGGTATTGCACCACCTGACATCCGCCGGGAAGTAGCAGCCAATAGTGAAAGGACCAAGGCAGAGACATCTCCATCTCATCCCCTGTTTGGGTATCAGCCAGCACGTCAACGACTTAAATCTAGAAATAGTTTTCTAAGATCTACAGAGACACTCGCTGGAACACCTCAGCAAGCGAGAGTCCAAAAGTGGCAGGCTCAAACCCAGAACTTGATACCAAATGAGGCTCCCCCCTGGGCACAGAGAAGACTGGGCGACTTGGAAGGTGCTGAACAGACTGCGCTCTGGCACCACGAGATGCAGAGCCAACCTTCGGAAATGGGGCTACAAAGTGGAATCCTCGACATGCGAGTGTGGAGAAGAGCAAACCACAGACCACCTGCTGCAATGCATCCTGAGCCCTGCCACATGCACCAGGGAGGACCTTCTTGCGGCAACACCAGAGGCACTCCAAGGGGCCAGAGACTGGTCAAAGGACATTTAATCAACTACCAAGCTTGCAAACTTTGTGTTTTGTTTGTTTGTTAAAAAATGCAACGCAACTGTTTGGTCTGCTCCTCACACGATAAATAAATAAAAAATCAACCCTTGTGAGTTCCTTTTCTTTTGGTCTGCCAAACATTGGGATTTGTGACCCCCACCACCACCACCACAAAAAATGAGAAAATCAGCTTTTTTTTCCTCAGCAGATGCTTATATTGATTGATTGATTGATTGATTGATTTACTTACTTTATTTCTATACCGCTTTTCTCAGCCCTTAGGCGACTCAAGCTTCTTGCGAGCTTCTGGTTGGGGGATTCTGGGATTGGCAGACCTCCCCCAGAGCAATGTTAGCAAATGAGTGTGCGCTTTCCCTGAACTTTTCACTCTTTGGGGAGACTTCAGGGGGGCAGGGTATGGGAATTGAGACCCCCCACATACTTGGACGTCCCAAACTCTCTCCATCCCAACCCATGGGACAAAAGAGAGGCTGGGGATGACGTAGGTCCTGCAAGAAAGGTGCCTCCGACTTAAGGCCTGGGCTAAAAATAAGCCCCTTGACCCCCTTCCCTGGGCAAAGGGATGGAAATCCTCCCCGAATGAGAGAGGGGCACGGGGCGCATTCTTGGCACCGGCCGGGGGTCTCCCTGGCCAACCTTCGCATTCAGGCCTCCCCAGGTTGACGTCACCCAAGGGCCTCTCTGTGCTGCCCAAACAGGGGGAGAGTTGGGGGTGAATGGGACCATTGATCCCAATGTGCTGCCTTGAACCCCCAAATCTCCCCATGGTCCTCAAACCCCCTGGAAAGAAAGGAGGGGGAGGAAGGATTGTAGCAGAGGAAAGGTGGAAAGGAAGGAAGAAAAGAAAGTGAAAAGCTAGGGAGGACAAAAGGAAAAAAGGAACGGGAAATTGGTAAGAAGAGAAGGAAGGATTAAGGAGGAGAAAGAGGACAGGAAGGAAGGGTGAAGGAGTACAGCAGGAATAAGAAGGAAGGATGATGAAGGAAGGATTAAGGAAGAGAAAGTGAAGAGGAAGGAAGGATTAAGGGGTGTGACAGGAAGCCCCAAGAAGACTGGGACAGGACCTGCCAAAGGAAGAGGCCCCACAGCAGTTTAATGAGCTGTCAAAATTTAAGACACAACCAAAAACCTCTCTGTCTGTTCAACTTCTGCATTTCAACTGCATTTTAGAAGAGAAAAGGGAAGGGGTGGGGGGAAAGGATGGATTAGATTGGTGTTCAATGTATTGTCGAAGGCTTTCATGGCTGGAATCACTAGGTTCTTGTGGGATTTTTCGGGCTATAGGGCCATGTTCTAGAGGCATTTCTCCTGACGTTTCGCCTGCATCTATGGCAAGAACAAGCCACGAGAGTCAAGACGAAGACCCACCCAGAGGAAAAGTGTTCTTGCCAGACATCAAGGGAACCACTGACTGCAGAGGGAAGCTGATGAGGAAACACAACATACAAACAATCTACAGACCCACCAAGAAAATCCAACCAATGCTACGTTCAGCAAAGGACAAGAGGGATCCTCTCACCTCTGCAGGAGTCTACCGTATACCATGCAGCTGTGGACAAGTCTACATAGGGACCACCAAACGCAGCGCCCAAACAAGAATCCAGGAACATGAAAGGCACTGCAGACTACTTCAACCAGAGAAGTCAGCCATAGCAGAGCACCTGATGAACCAGCCTGGACACAGCAGATTATTTGAGAACACAGAAATGCTGGACCACTCACAACCACCATGTCAGACTACACAGAGAAGCCATTGAAATCCACAAGCATGTGGACAATTTCAACAGAAAGGAGAAACCATGAAAATGAACAAAATCTGGCTACCAGTATTAAAAAAACTCTAAAATTACAACAGCAAAACAGCAGAGAGGAAACAACCAGGCACATCTTAACACCTCTCAACAAAAGATTCCCCCAGGCTCAGCCAGGCCTTCAAATGCTAATGAAGGTGGTCAGTTGAAACATTCACACCTAGCTCCAGCAGAGAAGAGCTCTTTGCCCACCCTGGTCTTTCCACAGATATATAAACCCATTTTCCTATTTCCAACAGACCTCACTACCTCTGAGGAGACTTGCCATAGATGCAGGCGAAACGTCAGGAGAAATGCCTCTAGAACATGGCCCTATAGCCCGAAAAAAAAACCACAAGAACCTATATTGGTGTTTCTCAATTTTCCTAATGCCAGGACCCCTTAGTCCAGTTCCTCGTGTTATGGTGACCCCACCCCCCCGACCATAACATTATTTTCGTTGCTACTTCATAACTGATTATTTGCAACTGCTATGAGTCGTCATGTAAATATCTGATAATCAGGAATGGAAAATAGAATGTTAGTGGGCAGGAGAAGAGATTTAAAGACGGGCTCAAAGCCAACCTTAAAAACTCTGGCATAGACACTAAAAATTGGGAAGCCCTGGCCCTTGAGTGGTCCAGTTGGAGGTCAGCTGTGACCAGCAGTGCTGCAGAATTCAAGGAGGCACGAGTGGAGGGCGAAAGAAAGAAACGTTAATATCTGATAATCAGGAATGGAAAATGGAATGTTGGTGGGCAGGAGAAGAGATGTAAAGATGGGCTCAAAGCCAACCTTTAAAACTCTGGAATAGACACTGAGAATTGGGAAGACCTGGCCCTTGAGTGGTCCAGTTGGAGGTCAGCTGTGACCAGCAGTGCTGCAGAATTTGAAGAGGCACGAATGGAGGGCGAAAGAGAGAAACGTTAATATCTGATAATCAGGAATGGAAAATGGAATGTTGGTGGGCAGGAAAAGAGATTTAAAGACAGGCTCAAAGCCAGCATTAAAAACTCTGGGAAGCCCTGGCCCTTGAGCGCTCCAGTCAGAGGTCAGCTGTGACCAGCAGTGCTGCAGAATTTGAAGAGGCACGAATGGAGGGCAAAAGAGAGAAATGTGCCAAGAGGAAGGTGTGTCAAGCCAAACCCAACCGGGACCGACTTCCACCTGGAAAGCGATGCCCTCACTGTGGGAGAAGATGCAGATCAAGAATAGGGCTCCACAGTCACCCACGGACCCACCACCAGGACACGACACTTGGAGGACCATCATCCTCGGACAACAAGGGATTGCCTAAGTAAATATTTTCACTCACTGGACCAAGTTTGTCACAAATCCCCAATACACCCAAATTTGAATACTGGTGCAGTTAGGGAAGGATTGATTTTGTCATTTGGGAGTTGCTGGGATTTAGTTCGCCTACAATCAAAGAGCATTCTGGACTCCACCAATGATGACATTGAACCAAACGTGGCACGCAGAACTCCCACAAGCCAACAGAAAATAATGGAGGGGTTTGGTGGATATCGGGGGCACCTCAAGAGTGCCCCTCAGGGATTTGCGCTATACACAAATGCGTATCTTGCCTATTGCTTCAGCCGCCCCTGGTGGGTATTGACCTTGAGTTTGGGAGTTGTAGTTCACCTACATCCAGAGAGCACTGTGGACTCAAACAATAATGGATCTGGACCAAACTTGGCAGGAATACTCAATACGCCCAAATGTGAATACTGGTGGTGTTTGGGGAAAATAAACATTTGGGAGTTGTGATTGCTAGGATAATGGATCTGGACCAAACTTGGCACGAATATTCAATATACCCAAATGTGAATACTGGTGGTGTTTGGGGAAAATAGACATTTGGGAGTTGTGGTTGCTAGGATTTATAGTTCGCCTACAATCAAAGAGCATTCTGAACCCCATCAAGGAAAGAATTGGGCCAAACTTCCCACACAGAACCCACATGATCAATATAAAATACTGTGTTTTCTGATAATCTTTGGTGATCCCCCCTTAGGGGTCCCGACCCCCAGGTTGAGAAGCACTAGATTTAAGAGTATAGTAGGATAAGAAGGGAAGACGAAAAAAGTTTGGATGTATGGATGGAGAAGGAAAGGAATAACATGGAAGGATAGGAAGACTGACGGATGGATGGATGGATGGAAGGAAGGAAGGAAGGAAGGAGAGGGAGAGAGAGAGAAAGACAGATGGAGCATAGAGGGATGGACAGATGGTGGGAAGATGGATGGATATTGCTTTCCTCTCCTCTCTTCTCCTCTTCTCTTCTCATTCCTTCACTCCCTGTCTCTACCCATCCATCACCCCACCCGTTGGCATCTCCTTCTTCTCCTTCTTCTCTCCCTCCTCTCTCTTGCCCTTTCTTTCTTTCTTTCTTTCTTTCTTTCTTTCTCTTACACTTCCCGTAACCCATCCCCTGGGCAACGGGTGCCTTTCTTTGGGGCACCCCAGCAAAAGGGCACCCCTCCCTTGGATGGTGTTGGGAGGTGGGCTCTGTTGCCCAGGCAATGGACCGGGCAGCCCTATAAGAGGGGTCGCTTGGGCCGAGTGGAGGCCAGGAGGCACCAGACACGACCACCACCCCATCCTCCCTCCAGGCCACAGCAAGCCCCTTCCTTCTGCTGGGACCCCAAAGAGAACCCCCACCACATACAAGCTGCTGATCCATTGGCCCAGGATGAAGGCTCTGCCCCCCTTGCTCTTCCTCATTCTCCTGCCAGCCGCCTCCCAGAGCCCCCTTCGCTCCCACCAGGTAGGCCCAGGAATGGAGGAAATGAGGGAAGAAAAGGAAGGAGGAAGAGAAGGAAGGAAGGAAGGAAGGAAGGAAGGAAGGAAGGAAGGAAGGAAGGAAGGAAGGAAAAAGAAGTAAAGGACGGAAGAGAGAAGGAAGGAATAAAGGAAGGAAAGGTTGAGAAAAGAGGGAAGGACAAATGGGGGACATAAGGAAAAAGAGAAGAAGAAGAGTAGGAGGGAAGGGAGGGAGGACTTGTGGGAAATAAGGAAGGAAGAAAAACAGAAGGAGGGAAGGACAGGAAGAGTAATGGAGGAGGAAAAAAGGGAGGAAGGAAGGAAGGAAGGAAGGAAGGAAGGAAGGAAGGAAGGAAGGAAGGAAGGAAGGAAGGAAAAAGGAGAGAAGGTAAGACGAAAGGAATGAAGGAAAGAGAGGTTGAGAAAAAAGGGAAGGACAAATGGGACATAAGGAAGAAGAGAAGAAGGAAGAAGAATAGGAAAGAAGGGAGGGAAGACGTGGGAAATAAGGAATGAAGGAAAACAGAAGGAGGGAAGGACAGGAAGAGTAATGGAAAAGGAAAAAAGGAAGGGAAGGAAGGAAGGAGAAGGAGGGAAGGATGGATGGATTGAAGGAAGGGAAGGGAAGGGATGGATGGAAAGGAGGAAGGAAGGAAAGGAAGGAAGGAAGGAAGGAAGGAAGGAAGGAAGGAAGGAAGGAAGGAAGGAAGGAAGGAAGGAAGGAGGGAAGGAGGAGAGAAGGTTGGCCACAGCAAGGAAAGGAAGAGGAAAAGAGGGAGGGAGGGAAGGAAGGAAGGAAGGAAGGAAGGAAGGAAGGAGAAAGGATGGAGGATGGATAGGAAAAAAGGGGAAAGAAGGAAGGAGAAACTGAAAAAAGGAAATGAAGGGATGCAAGAATAATGGAGAGAATGAGAAGGAAAGAAAAATGATGGAAGGATGGAAATATGGAGAGGAAAGAAGGAAAACTGGGGAAGAGAAAAGGAAGGCAAGAGAGAGGAACTGAGAAGGAAATACAAATGAGGAGGAAGGTGAAGAGGAAGGAATGGGAGACTCGGAATATGTTGGAGGGGCATCCACTTGACTGCCGTGACCTTGACCCCTGTGTCTCCCTGTTCCCCCCGTTTAGGCCTTGCTGGAGCTTCTGGGGGAAGACCTGGAGGCCCTGCTCTCTGAGCGGGAGGGGAGCCCCACTCTGCTCCCCCAGGACCTGGTCTCCCGGCTCTTAAAGCGGCATCGCCCTGCCTCCCAGGAGCCCCCCACCCCAGCCCTCCCTCCCGAAGCCTGGGCCCATCTCCTGAGCGACCTCCTCAAGTCCCAGAAGAGCCTCCGGTGGCGGCCCAAGAAGGTGACCATGGGCCAACAAGGCTGTTTTGGCATCAAGCTGGACCGGATCGGGACCCTCAGCGGCCTCGGCTGCTAGCTGTGAGTCTGGAATAGGATGCAGGGGAGACCTTGGTTGGATTTGGGGGGGCTCTGGTTTTGTAAAAAGCTTCATTTTATGTGCTCTTTCCGCTCCTCGTCCTCTGTCCAGCTGGGAGGTTCTCTTAGCAGCATTAGCATTGGGAGGATGGTAAAGAAGGAAGGAGCAGCTGGAAAGGAAAAAAAAAAGGTAGGAAGATAGGAAAGAAGGAGAAGTGATGGAGCAGGGATGGATGGATGAATGGGAACAACGGAACGAAGGAAGGAAGGAGAAACTGAAAAGAAGTGAGAGAAGGGGAGGGAGGGAGGAAGAAAGGAGAGACTGAAAAGGAGAGAATAAAGGAGTGGTGGTAGAGTGAAGGGATGACAAGGAAGGAAGGGTCTCACTTCCAAGATATATATTATTATAATTTTTAAAAAATCTCTGTGTATGCAAATATTCCAAAACCCTACCCCCCCAAATACAATACACTTCTGATCCCAAGCATTTCGAGTAAGGAAGGCTTTAATTTAATGTTATCCTTGTATTTGTTCTGACTATATGATGTGCTAGGGACAGAGGTGGCCCTAGGTAATTTTCAATGGTAAGCAAACAGTATTTTGCCCCCCCCCCAACCAATCATTAATATATATTTTCTGTTTGTCGTGGGAGTTCTGTGTGCCATATTTGGTTCAATTCCATCATTGGTGGAGTTCAGAATGCTCTTTGATTGTAGGTGAACTATACATCCCAGTAACTACACTTGCCGCACTTGCTCCCTTGCCTCCCTTGCGTCCGGAGGCATGCCTGAAGACCCCAGCGTGTGCACCAAAAGTCACCTCTTCTCCTGACTTTCTCCTCAGCCATTGGGACCAAGAGAGAGAGAGAGAGAGAGAGAGAGGTGGAGATGCCCACCTTTCCTGAAGGTAGGCACAAAAACAAAGGAGGGAGCGGAGGTGGGAGATACCTCCAGCCGGAGGGGCTCTCTCTCTCTCTCTCTCTCTCTCTCTTGGTCCCAATGGCTGAAGAGAAAGTCAGGAGAAGAGGCAATTTTGGTGCGCACACTGGGGTCTTCAGACACGCCTCCGGACCCGAAGCGGGCCAGGCACGGCAGCTCTGCCCCTTGGCTCACCCACAGATTGGGGAGAGGAGAGGAGGCGGGTGGAGGGCCAGGGGATCGGGAAAGGGAGCCGGTCATGGGGAAGGGATCGAACGTGGAGAACGATTGAGTGCCGGCTCTGCTCGTGCACCCGGTGGCCGGGTGGAGCAGGAACGAGAGGGGCTAGGCGAGGCTCAAGGGCCCGGCCCCTTTGGGAAGAGGATCGCCCGGCAGTGAGGCAAGAAAGCCGAGGCTCCCCCCGGACTGCTAGGGCTGTGGTGAGCTGAGGGGCGCTCCTCAAGTGGCAGTCGAGGGGCATTTACAGAGGCACCTCTGCGCCCCTGGCAAAACAAAAGTGTTCTGCGACCGCTTACTTCGCGTAATGGATGAGCCGCCCCTGGCTAGGGAAATACACTTCCAGACTTCACCTGGAGACGTGAAGCCACAGATTAGAGCAAACCCTATTGAGATGACAGGCCTCTGGCATAAGAATGCCCCAGAGGTGTGCCGGGGGGCTAGGGAATGCCAAGAGGGGCCCTCTTTTGCTAGACGTAGATAAATAAAGCCATCATGATTTTCCCTTTCTTGCAGATTTTCCTCCCTTGACGATGCTCCTTTGGGGCTGAACGACTCCATCAAGACAAAAGCACCCAGGTGCTTGCAAGGATCCAGCATTGGAACAAGTCCTCCTCCTTCTCCACTGAAAACTAGAACTCTCCTCTGGCTCAGAGTCACAATTCTCTCTCTCTCTCTCTCTCTCTCTCTCTCTCTGGAAAACCGAGCGTCTCACCTGGAAGGAATCTGCACTATGCAAAGATAGCACTTCAATACCACTTTAAATGCCACAATAGCTTTTGCCTATGGAATCCTGGGATTTAGAGTTTGGGGAGGCCTCAGTCCCTTTTGGCAGAGGAATCTGAAGACCTTGTGAAACTGCAAATACCATTAATCCATTGTTTTGCACGAAGGCAGTTAGACTGGTATGAATTTGACTAGGTAGGTGCACCCCTTAAAGATAAAGTTCTCCAGAATAATCTGATTCCAACCCCAAACTACAAATTCCAGGACTATACAGGACCCAGGTCAACGTGATATTAAAGTGGTGCCAAAGTGTTAGTTGTGCAAACTGGACCTCCATCCCAATTCACAGGGTCCCTTTTATTTGTAAACAAGCGGAATATGTGCTTTGGCATTGCATTTTAGAGAAAATCATGTGTAAAAGCAATTATTTCTGACTGACTTCCCACAACTGAAATAAAAATGCATCTGGTTCTCTATGTGTGAAGCATTATATCAGTGGTTCTCAACCTTCCTAATGCCGCGACCCCTTTATACAGTGGTTCTCAACCCTAATGACCCCTGAATACAGTCCCCCATGTTGTGGTGACCCCCAACCATAACATTGTTTCCATTGCTACTTCATAACAGTCATTTTCCTACTGTTATACATCATAATGTAAATATCTGATATGCAGGATGCATTTTCATTCACTGGACCAAACTGGGCACAAATACCCAATACACCCAAATGTGAATTCTAGTGGAGTTGGGGGAAGATTGATTTTGTAATTTGGGAGTTGTAGTTGCTGGGATTTATAGTTCACTTATAATCAAAGAGCATTCTGAACTCCACCAGCGATGGAATTGAACCAAACTTGGCTCCCATGACCAATGGAAAACACTGGAAGGGTTTGATGGGCATTGACCTTGAGTTTGGGAGTTGTAGTTCACCTATATCCAGAGAGCACTGTGGACTCATGCAATGGTGGATCTGGACCAAACTTGGCTCCCATGACCAATGGAAAACACTGGAAGGGTTTGATGGGCATTGACCTTGAGTTTGGGAGTTGTAGTTCACCTATATCCAGAGAGCACTGTGGACTCATGCAATGGTGGATCTGGACCAAACTTGGCTCCCATGACCAATGGAAAACACTGGAAGGGTTTGATGGGCATTGACCTTGAGTTTGGGAGTTGTAGTTCACCTATATCCAGAGAGCACTGTGGACTCATGCAATGGTAGATCTGGACCAAACTTGGCACGAATACCAATGGAAAACACTGGAAGGGTTTGATGGGCATTGACCTTGAGTTTGGGAGTTGTAGTTCACCTATATCCAGAGAGCACTGTGGACTCATGCCAGCGATGGATTTGAACCAAACTTGGCTCCCATGACCAATGGAGATCACTGGAAGGGTTTGATGGGCATTGACCTTGAGTTTGGGAGTTGTAGTTCACCTATATCTAGAGAGCACTGTGGACTCATGCAATGGTAGATCTGGAACCAAACTTGGCTCCCATGACTAATGGAAAACACTGGAAGGGTTTGATGGGCATTGACCTTGAGTTTGGGAGTTGTAGTTCACCTATATCCAGAGAGCACTGTGGACTCATGCAATGGTGGATCTGGACCAAACTTGGCTCCCATGATCAATGGAAAACACTGGAAGGGTTTGATGGGCATTGACCTTGAGTTTGGGAGTTGTAGTTCACCTATATCCAGAGAGCACTGTGGACTCATGCAATGGTGGATCTGGACCAAACTTGGCACGAATACTCAATATGCCCAAATGTGAACACTGGTGGAGTCTAGGGAAAATAGATTTTGAAATTTGGGAGTTGTCGTTGCTGGGATTTATAGTTCATTACAATCAAAGAACATTCTGAACTCCACCAACGATAGAATTGGCTCAGACTTCCCACATGGAATCCTCATGACCATCAGAAAATACTGTGTTTTCTTATGGTCTTTGGTGACCCCTCTGACACCCCTTTGCGACCCCCTCAGGGGTCCCGACCCCCAGGTTGAGAAACACTGCATTATATGAAGTCGGTGTAAATTGAAATGTCAGTGGAAGTTATTTTACTACAAATATAAGGATATCTCTGTGCATTTACAGAATGCCTTCTTGCCATCACTTACTAACTCCTTAAATAAGTATGGGATCTGACAAATACACTGTAGTTTTTCCCCCCCAGGCTGAGCAGCTCTTATTATTCAAACAACAGAAAAGGAGATTCCACGTGAACATTATTAGGAAGGACTTCCTAACTGTGACAGCTGTTCAGCAGTGGCACTCTCTGCCTTGGGAGTGTGGTGGAGGCTTCTTCTTTGGAGGCTTTTAAGCAGAGGCTGGATGGCCATCTGCCGGGGGTGCTTTGCATGTGGATTTCCTACTTCTTGGCAGAATGGGGTTGGACTGGATGATGGCCCATGAGGTCTCTTCCAACTCTAGGATTCTATGATTCTATTGCAAGTCACTTTTTGGAGCTGCACTCACACATGCTCAGAGGCACCGCAGCCAAACATGTGTTGGTTGGCATGCAGAAGGGATAGTGAGGATGAGAAGCAATCCAAGGCAGAAAGACGGATGGAAAATGGGTATCAAGGATCATTTCCTACAAAATTCAAGTTTTTTTTACACTAAGGGTATTTATTTGTTGTGTTGGGGGCAACCAAACCATTGTATTACACTTCTAACATAACAAAACAAACAAACAGATTAAAAAAGCACAACGCGTGCAAACTTGGTAGTTGATTAGATGTCCTTTGACCAGTATCTGGCCCCTTGGAGTGCCTCTGGTGTTGCCGCAAGGAGGTCCTCCATTGTGCATCATGTGGCAGGGCTCAGGGTGCATTGCAGCAGGTGGACAGTGGTTTGCTCTTCTCCAACTCGCATGTTGTGGATTCCACTTTGTGGCCCCATTTCTTGAGGTTGGCTCTGCATCTCGTGGTGCCAGAGTGCAGTCTGTTCAGCACCTTCCAAGTCGCCCAGTCTTCTGTGTGCCCGGGGGGAGTCTCTCATCTGGTATCATCCACGGATTGAGGTGCTGGGTTTGAGCTGCCACTTTTGGACTCTCGCTTGCTGAGGTGTCCCAGTGAGTGTCTCTGTAGATCTTAGGAAACTATTTCTCAATTTA